GTGCGTGCGTGCGTGCGTGCGTGTGTGAATGCCCGTGCGTGCCTGTGTGTGTGTGTTTGTGTGCATAAGTGTATGCATGCAAACAAATGTAGAGAAATGCACAAATATATTTAGTTCATTCAGGCTCTTGATTGCGTAGTGTTGGTGTTGCATGAAATTTGTTTGTGTAGCATCTGTGCATCTGTGTGCTTCATTTCATTGCTGCTTCAATATCGGCACTCTCTCAGGCAACCAGGACATGAATGTGCGAACAAACTGTTTTGCACCAACACAACGTACCACAAACATGGCCAAAGCTGAACCTGACGTCCCAAATCCTGAGTAAATCCCATGTGCTTTGTCCAAAGCGGAAGAGCGAACTCGCTCAAGCGCTTGACAGATTGTTACTCAAGCGTTCAGACCAAAGATTCCCGGGATTCGTGTCTTGAATCCTAAATCTGGCTGCTCAAGTGCGTCAAAATGCTTTCAAGTATTGTCAACGTGCTGAAGCATTTTTGGAGTGCGACGCGGAGCTTGTGAGAACGCTTGCCGTAAATTCTCGATTCAGGGTTCTAGAGCCTTCATTGGAGTGATGCCACACAGCTATCCTTGGCAGCATGATTTGGCTGCGTAGACATTGTCTCCGGGTCTTGGCAATTCGTGGCCCAATTGAAGCGAGCTGGTGTGCGCAATTGCTGTTTGGGGTCGACGCTACTCTTGACACATCGGAAAATCATCATCCCTGGCTGACGATTTGTCTGTTTGTTTGCTTGTTTATTTGTTTGTGTTCCGCCTCATTTTGCCAAGCGACACACCTGATGGAAAGGGATACGTAGCACGAATTGGTGCCCCAGGTCCAAGCTCAGCTGCTCTTGCACCTGGCTGCTGTCGCCGCCATATTCTGGATTACCCCAGCTCACAACAGCCCAAGATTCAAGAATGGCTGCAAAAGAACCACAGGCAGTTGCTCGGATGTGCTGGATGTTCCTCAGCTGCTCTTGCACCTGCCTGCTGTCTCCGCCGAATTGTGGATTGCGCCAGGTCACAACAGCCCCGGATTCAAGAATGGCTCCAAACGCACCACAGGCAGTTGCTTGGATGCGCTGGACATTGCTCAGCTGCTCTTGAACCTGGCTGCTGTCTCCGCCGAATTCTGGATTGCCCCAGGTCACAACAGCCCCGGATTCAAGAATGGCTCCAAACGCACCCTCTGCAGTTGCTTGGATGCGCTGGACATTGCTCAGCTGCTCTTGAACCTGGCTGCTGTCTCCGCCGAATTCTGGATCACCCCAGGTCACAACCGCCCCAGATTCAAGAATGGCTGCAAAAGCACGTTCAGTTGCTTGGATGCTCTGGACGTTCCTCAGCTGATCTTGCGCCTGGCTGCTGTCTCCGCCGTAGTCTGCAAGACCCCAGGTCACTACAGCCCCAGATTCAAGAATGGCAGCAAAAGCACCATATGCGGCTGCTTGGATGTGCTGGACATTCCTCAGCCGCTCTTGCACCTGGCTGCTGTCTCCGCCAAATTCTGGAACACCCCAGGTCACAACAGCCCCAGATTCAAGAATGGCTGCAAAGGCACGTTCAGTTGCTTGGATGCTCTGGACGTTCCTCAGCTGTCCTTGCACCTGGCTGCTGTCGCCGCCATATTCTGGAGTACCCCAGCTCAGAACAGCCCGAAGGGCAGCAAAAGCACCATATGCAGCTGCTTGAATGTGCTGGACATTGCTCAGCTGCTCTTGCACCTGCCTGCTGTCTCCGCCACAGCGTGAATCACCCCAGGTCACAACAGCCCCAGATTCAAGAATGGCAGCAAAAGCTCTGCCAGTTGCTTGGATGTGCTGGACGTTCCTCAGCTGATCTTGCACCTGGCTGCAGTCTCCACCATATTTTGGATCACCCCAGGTCACTACAGTCCCAGATTCAAGAATGGCTGCAAATGCAAACGGATTTGCTTGGACTTGCAGGACGTTCCTCAGATGATCTTGCACTTGGCTGCTGTCTCCACCATATTTTGGATCACCCCAGATCACAAGATCGCCCCCGTGGCCATGAAAAGCGAACGCCCCATGAGTGGCCGCCAGTTTGCCAAGCTGCACAACCGCAGTCACTAAGTCCCCATCTCGCAACCCTGCCTCTGACAGCGTGGCTGTCGAATCGAGCCGGCCTGTCGCCATGAGCTTCAAGCGGCGCTTGAAATGCTGCTGCGCTGCAGCCTTCAGCTCGCTGATGGACCACGTCCGTGAGACTTCTATGCAGCAGCCATCTCCACTGGGCAAGCGAACGTCCAGCTTCATGGCGCAGGAAGATTCTTCTTGGCGCATGCAAGCTGCCAATCACGAATCTGAGACACAGCTGTCAATATGCCTTTGGGGGGGCTCTTTGAGGTATTGACCATGGAAAGCCGATCAACTAAAAAGAGCCGTTCGGCATTTGGAGTGGCTGAACCAAAAAAAGACACTGACTTGATTTGGGAACAGCTAAAAGTCTAAAAAGGTAGAAGAAAGTCCAACAAACATGGACAAAGATTTGCACAAGGACAAGACAAACCACAAATCTCAGTACAACTCTCAGTACTCTAACCGTGAAAGGAAGCAAAAATGAAGTGACAACTGCTGCCCCAACCGCCCCCATCCGCAACCGCCAGCCTGTGGTGGTCCAAAAAGACCGCAGGCACCAGCGCAATCGCCAGCCACCAGCCGAAATACTGGAGGGCCAAGCGATGAAGGAACCTTAGGACCAAGGGAACCGGGGTGAGCCCTCCACTTGACAATCACTTTGAAGCGGAAAAGAACAGGATTGCTATCACTGAAATAAGACTAAGACATTCCCAAAAGAAAGGATTGCTAGCACTGAAGATGAGTAGTTTCTCAGGGGTGTCACTGGTTTCTACCAACTCCCGAAGGTACTGGTTCCCTCACTTCCCCGATCACGGAAGGCGATTCGGATCTGGGAACCTCCGGAGGTCAAAGCGGAACTCACCTCAAACAGATCTCCCCATACGTACCACACACCCGGTACTTCTTGGACCCACAATTCGTTCGAACACAGAAAATGTGCGGGCTTTGTACGCCTTTTGTCACTGAGAACACGTGAGTCCTGGAAGCTTGGGGCTGATGTTGGTCCCCGAAAAACCAACGCGATGGGTTCCCAAAATTTGAGGAACCCGACTGGGTTGATGACTTGGTAACCACGAGCCCATGGTTGAAGCATGTGGTTCAACAGGGTCCCCGTCTATTTCCGCGAAAACACCCCCCTACCAAAAAAAAACTGACCTGAAGTGGGGCACAAGGTGATGTGTGAAACCACCAAAAGGGGAAGTATGGGGACCATGCGTCACTCAGTGGAACACCCACCTGAAGGACAAGGCAAAGCCCCAACAAAGTGAGGCAACTCGAACGAACTCAAGCACAGGGTACGGGACAAAAGAGTTGCCCGAAGTGGGTCCAAATTTTGCGAGCAAGGGGTTGTCTTAAACTAGGGCAACCCCAAAAATGGGTCCTTTCAAAACCAACCTATAATCAAGACACACCCAAGTGCCTCATTTGGCTAGTAACAACAAGTCCCTTTGATTCAAGAGGCAATGGTATGTGACAACTTACGCGCACTGTGGCCAGCGCATCGTAAATCATCAAGGGCTTTTCAGGTATGGCTTTTGGAGGCAGGAAGGATTTTTTGTTATATACCACTTTACAAGGGGTATATACTGCCTTACGGCCTTATATTAGTGGTATATAAGCATCCATACCTCCAAACCCCCTCACTGCAAATGTCCCTGAAAATATAGCATCATCATGGTCATACGCCAGTAAATCAACCATTGATCGGTCTTTACAATCCATTGGCTTTGACTCATTGACTGCCTCGGCAAGCGGCCACAAAAAACACTGCGCGCTTAGATACGCAAACCAAACATGCACAGTCAATATTGACAAGCACATGCAAAGCAAAAACGTCTCGGGTTGACCTCGTTAATTGAAGCGGCAAGCCGCGGAAAACTCAGAAGAGCACAAAATGACTGATGTCAAGATACCGTCAGCGGTGTGTTGGAGCAGAGAAAAAAGAGAGCAACCATTCAAGAGATTCGAGGATGCAGTGACGAGCTTACTATCTGGTGAATGCGCAGCAAAGCATCGCTGCTTCAGCCGCTCTTTTCTGCTTCGCCTTGCGGCTTCGCTTGCGCCTTGGGCGAAGCGGTGAGCTCGTGGGGCTCCAGCTGTCATCATCTGCAAGGCACTCAACTCCTGGTGCTTCCAAAGCTCAACCCTCTACGAAAAAACGGCAAAGCGAAGATGTCAAACATCTTTTCAGCTCGAGCGTTGCAATGGGACACTTTGAAAGCCGCTGCCAGAAATTGGGACACCCGAAGCCTTCGCACCAGGACCCGCTGTCCGGTGGCTCCTTTGGAGTGCCACAAAACGAATCGCCTCGCCGATCTAGATCCATAGCCCACATGTCAGGAGAGGGAAAAGTGTTCGGCCATACCCACAGCCCTTGGGTGATTTCTTCCTGACTTCAAACCTTCCCCCCCTTTTGGATCATGGCTCACTGACGCACTGTCAGAGTCCCTGAGCTATGATGCTCTTCCTGACAATGAGGGTGTCCAGGGCATGCCTATAGCGCGTGTAGTCCCGGACCACCTGCACGGAGTCGTGGAAGGAGTCCTTCTGCATGGCGTCGATGGCTTCGGTCACCTCGTCCTCTTCTCGGATGCCCGCGAGCTCCTGAGATGCGATCCGCGCGCATTGAACGAGGGCGCATTGAACGAGGAAAATGTACATGTTCACCAGGGTATCAGTGCATTTCAAACAAAATCAACGGTTGGTCAAGTGGTTGGTCCCGATAAAGCCGGCACGTGCAGTCCCGGAACTTGACCCCGAGCAAACTGCGGACGGGCACAATCTTGAACCGGTTGGGATGGATTATCAAAATAGGCGGATCCCAAAAATGTTAGCTCTCCCGTATGTGAACATTTGCTCCCCACGAGCAAAACTTGTGCGCCAAAACCTCAGGATCGGAAGTTCCCCAGAGTAACCAGAGTAACCAGTGTGAGGAGCAGCGTCGCCACATCCCCCCTCTTGTTGATTGGGTTGAAGAGGGGCTCATGCTTCTCATTTCCATGGTTTCGCCCTGTCTGACCAACGGCCGCCCAATCAAACTTTCGGGGTGAAAGAAGGCATGATCATATGGAGCAGGTCCGCAATGAGATGAGACAAGCCACCACTCGTTTCAACGGAAAGAAAAAAATGAAAAAACTAAACCCCGTCCTCGGCAATGAGGCTGTTCGGCTGCTTGTGGCAGCTGAAGCCCCCATTCAGCGCCGACAGGAAGGCCGGCACAAACTGCGCCTTGCGGGAGACCAGCCCGCCCACCTCCATCCTCGGACGGGAGACACCAAGTCCGATATACTTTGGGACGTGGCGAAAGCGACCCCGAGGAAGTGGTTGGTTGTTGATTGATGCATTGGCTGTTGGTTGATGCAAAGTGATAATCATTGTCACGGTTGTCTATCATTGGTCTTCTCCGTGCATTGGAGGAGCCGTGACCCTTGCAGGGTGAAAGTGGATGGCACTATAATCCTGTTTATGACCGTAAATGAAGAGGAGCACGAAACCAACATGCCGAACACATGGGGGTTGATCTAAATGTTGGTGCCGCTGCAAGGACAAACAGAGTCCCTTTCGCTCGCCCTTACGCCGGCTTTCGCGGCTCGGGGAGTGGAGCTTTCTCTATGTGAGCAACTATAAAAGAAGAAGTACACTTTGGTAGCTCCGGCTCGCAAGTCGCAACTGTTCAGTACAAGTGTAGTAAAGGAAGTGCACTTCGGCAGCTCCGGCTCGAAAGTCGCAACTTTTCAGTACAGTTGTGGTAAAGGAAGTGCACTTTGGCAGCTCCGGCTCGGAAGTCGCAACTTTCCAATACAAGTGTAGTAAAGGAAGTATAAGGGGCCTTAAAAGAAGCTTTAAGAGGAGCTCTGTAAGGATGTTTAAAAGAAGCTTTGTAAGGAGTTTTGTAAGGAGCGCGATAAGGAGCTTTAGGAGGAGCTTTGTAAGGAGCTTTGCTGGGAGCTTGAAAAGGAGTTTCATACGGAGCTTGATAAGCAGTTTTATAAGGAGCTTGATAAGGAGCTTTATAAGGAGTTTCATAAGGAGCTTTACAAGGAGTTTTATAAGGAGCTTCATAAGGAGCTTTGGAAGGGTCTTTGCAAGGAGCTTTATAAAGCTCCTCACAAACCTCCAGACAAAGCTCCTCCTTACAAAGCTCCTCCTTACAAAGCTCCTCCTTACAAAGCTCCTGCTAGCTCTTCATTGAGATCTTCTTTAAAAGGCTCCTTATAAAGCTTTATGTAACATTGGCCCGCAGAATCCGCAGAAGTTATTTTCACCGGCTGGAAAACGAGTTCCGAGACAGAATCCGCAGAAGGTATTTTCAACGGCTGGAAAACGATTTCGGGACAGAATCCGCAGAAGTTATTTTGACTGGCTGGAAAACGATTTCGGGGACACCCAGCAAAAGCTCCTTATACAGCACTTTATAAAGAAGCCCCTTTTACAGCTCCTTACAAACCTCCTTGCAAAGCTCCTCCTTACAAAGCTCCTTATAAAGCACTTTATAAGGAGCTTTTGATGGGTGTCCCCAAAATCGTTTTCCAGCCGGTGAAAATAACTTCTGCGGATTTTGTCCCGGAACTCGTTTTCCAGCCGGTGAAGATAACTTCTGCGGATTCTGCGGGCCAATGTTATAAAAAGCTTTGTAAGGAGCCTTACAGAGTGCTTTATGAGGAGCTTTATAAGGAGCTTTTGATGGGTGTCCCCGAAATCGTTTTCCGGCCGGTGAAAATAACTTCTGCGCATTCTGTCCCGGAACTCGTTTTCCAGCCGGTGAAAATATTTTTGTTGATTTTGTCTCGGAACTCGTTTTCCAGCCGGTGAAAATAACTTCTGCGGATTCTGCGGGCCAATGTTATAAAAAGCTTTATAAGGAGCCTTATAAACAAGATCTCAATGAAGAGCTTTAGAAGGAGCTTTGTAAGGAGGAGCTTTGTAAGGAGGTTTGTAAGGAGCTGCATAAGGAGCTTAATTGACAAGCTTTCTAAAGTGCTTCATAAGGATCTTTATAAGGAGCTTTTGATTGGTGTCCCCGAAATCGTTTTCCAGCCGGTGAAAATAACTACTGCGGATTCTGTCCCCGAAATCGTTTCCCAGCCGGTGAAAACAACTTCTGCGGATTTTGTCCAGGAACTCGTTTTCCAGCCGGTGAAAATAGCTTCTGCGGATTCTGCGGGCCAATGTCAGCATTCCATAGCATTCAGCATTTTTATTCCAGAGTCTGCTCGGTCTTGAATCGTTGCAGATGTGTGGCAATCCACTCTCCCATCCAAGAACTTGCCTTAACTTTTTTGGGGGGGACCTTTGGAGGGGGGACCTTAGGCCCTGGTGACTAAAGGATCCTAATCGGATCAAAAACCTACAGATTCCAAACCCAGCATGCCGAAAATGCTTCAAACTGGTCTGAAAATTGCTTTGCGCAAGCCCAAAATAACATTTGGAGCCATTTGAGGCCCTCAAAACCATTGTGCATAATACCGACCACTTTCCCTTTCGCTCGCCCTTACGCCCTCTTTCGCGACCACAGTGTGGCAACACCTTGTATATCCACTAGGTCTCCCGTACACAAAGCCTAGTTCCGTCGATTTAGATCGACTCCCACATGCACAGCCTGCCGCAAAACT